AATTTTACCGTTTAAGGTAAGGTAAAGTAAACCTTTACGGTTAAACTTAACCTAACCTAACGGAAAACTTAACTTTACGTAAGTACGCCGTTACGTAGTATGACAGAACTTCGACAATCACTTGGGGAAGTATGTGGAAAAATTGAATTAGTACACAAACTTTTGCATTTTATAAAGTTCTCCTCTTTATAAGTAATAATATTAATAGATTACTGCTTTTTGAAATTCCGTAAGTCTGTGTGGGTTTAGGTGTATATATATATATAAATTAAGAATTAAGTTAGCACATTCTTTCAGATCCCAATTGTAGATGATGAAATGAAAAAAGCGGCTGGTGAAGAGAATGGTGATAAAGATGCAGATCTAGCCATGACAGCTCCTGTAAAACAGCTTGTTACAGCAGATGGGACTTATGCTACACAAAGTATCTTTAGCACTACTACAAGTTCTAAGAAAGGTGTGTCTGCTTAATCCATTTGAGCGACATAAGCACTGATGAATATGTTAGGCTGTGTTTGTAATTATCCTTTAGAAAAATAATTCCTGTAAGTCTAAAATAATCTCTAAAAGGTAAAAAGAGTTGGAAACAATCCAGCTGTTAGATGTAGGATTTTATATATATATATATATATATATATATATTTATTTATTTATCTGTATTTAAGTAAACTTTCATTAAAGATGACTGTTGAATTATACTCTTCTCAAAACAAAGGATGACCAGAAATTATAGCATTCTAGATATTACCATTAACATCTGATCAAAGCAAGCTACCTATATAGATAAGAAATTAAAAAATGAACCCAGTACCGAATATAGCTAATTTGGTATACATTTGGTACGTAGAATACATGGATTCATCAATTGGGAACCCTTGCTGTTAGTGGTATTCTGAACTAACTGTAATCCCTGTAATATCTCACAAATTTTGGAAATCTTAGAAAATTTAAGTTTGTCTTAACTCCATGTACTAATTTAGTAATTAATCCTCATTAAAAAAAAATAAAAATGAAAGGTATGGCAAGGCAGAAACCACAGTTATGAAATATTTTTAATCACCTCCATCAGTTCTTTGTTATGCAAATCAGTCAAACCATTATTACACTGATTTTGTTACCAACTAAGTTTTCTCTTATATTGCAACAGAAAAAAATATTTTGTAAAATTGCTAATTTTACTAAATACGGTAAGTATAGTAAAATTGGTAATAAACAAGTATAATAAACATTTTTTTAAATTTTATGAAGATAAGACGTGTGTGTAACCTAACTAGCTGCAGTGATATAGAAAGTTTTAGTCAGTGGAAGTTGAGATGTGGGTGTAAGCACTCAGCTCTATACCCTTAATTGATTTTCCATGATTACTGGCTAGTTTAACATTGGCATTTGGATTTTGACTGGTAGATGGGATATCTCCAATGCATTAGGGAGCTATTACCACAGACGATATCTGTTAGGACTTTAAGGTGACAACTGAGATTTACAGTGGATTTTGAAAGAAGCTATTTATAATAATATAATATATAAGGTTTTTGAATTTTTTCTTAATTGGGTGATTTTTGCAGGTGCCATTTTGTGTCATAATGATCCCTACTATTAAGTACTACTGTATTTAATGATACTTGAAATTATCTAAGATTATGTTTATAAGAGTTTTGCTGAAAACCTGTACATTTTATCTTGATATTAAATCTATTATGATGTTGGTAATTAATTAGAAGTTATGTTAATATAATAATCTGTGCAGTTTTCAGCTTGCTTTAAAAAACTCACCAATTATTTTGAATTAAGAAAGTTTTAAATTTTCAGCTGAACAAAAACCACCATTAAGGTCTTATTTAATGGATGGAGATTTCTTCATTGGGGCTTCGATGGCTTCCAGCCTGACAAAACTAGCTTTTCGTTATTTGTCATTAGTGAATGATCCCAAAAAACAAAATGTAAGTATTAATTATTCATAAATAACTTTACCAAACTAAACATATGTTTTAAGATTAAAACCTGAATCTAGAGATAATTCTAGAACAGAATTTCCATACTCAGTTTGAATACATCACACTCATATGATAAATTTTGAAAATATTAAATACAAATGTAAAATGTTTTTATATATTTCTGATATTGCAAAAGAATTTCACCCCTGTCCCCAACAACCCTCTTTATAACTGTGGTACAGATAGCTGAGGAAAATAAAATAAAACTACTGATAATCTATTTGCATTTTTCATCTACCTCCTTAATTTCTATCAGTTTCTTTTCCCTCTTCTAATATTGCTTTAGTTGGAAGGATGTACTGTCCTTCTTGACACACAAATGAACACTTGTTAAAGGAACTGCTATTTGTTTGTGTAATTGATGTTAGAGTGACTAAAACATTCTTTGGAGTTTCAGGGGTAAATATTTTTCTAAATAAGTATCCAAAAGGTATGAAATAACTTTGATTTTGAAGGTTTTGGAAGAATTTTGGGTCATGAAAATGGAGAAAAAGGGGAAAGGGCAAAAATTGAGAAGGGAAGTGAGAGTGAAAAAAATTAAAGAAAGGCAAAAGAAATGAGGAACCAGAGCTGTATTTTGACTAGTGGGTTTGTGTTTTTATGTCAATGTTGTCAAGCAATCAGAGCTGTGATTGAGGTGTTGGAACAAATTTAATGGGCCCGGCATGGCCGGGTGGTTAAGGCACTCGACTCGCAATCTGAGGGTCGCGGGTTTGAATCCCCATCACACCAAACA